CAGCGACGGCATCCCCGACGCCACCGACCCCGACTCGGACGGAACCGGGAGGCGGCGGTCAAAAGACTACGTGGCTCCGGGGGGCGTCGTGCTTGTCGTGCTCGAGTCTGCATCGGCAGATGCCATGACGCCTCTGTATGCCTCACCACTGGGTGCGCCAACCGCGCCATTCCTAAGCCAGCTTGCCGCCCGTTCTGGAGCTGTTGCCTCGCGAGCTGCCTTCAGCTCGATCCCCAATTCAAACAAGGTGCTCTTTGAACTTCTCTGTGGGCTGCAGCCGGAGCTCCAAACAGGATGGACGGAGTTCAAGATGGGTAAGCTCAGGCACGAAGGGTGGGTTGAATTCATGCAGCGCCAGTGTTTGCCCCATCTGCTCAGGCAGCAGCGAGCCCCCTGGAAAAGCATGTTTCTGTCGAGCACGGCGGACAACCCGTCGACGTATCAGCACTCGCTGGGCTTTGACGAGGTTCTCGGCTCGCAGTCGCTCGAGGCCAGCTGTGCGCGCTACCTGAACAACAGCGAGTGCCGACGCCTCACCCTCACCCTCAGTGAGGAATGCTACGGAGCGCTGACGCAGTTGGGTGTCGCGCCTCCGCACCAGGCGCTGCTGGAGATGCTCGAGACAGCCTCTGCTACGAGCGACGAAGCAGGCTTCTCCACCGTTTGTGGCGGCGTGGTCGGGGCCAGTCTGAAGGCTGGCCAGCTAGGCCGTTGTCTTGCCGACCCGTGCAGTGTGCACCGGAATGCCGCGGGCAAGGGGTGGGGCAAGGTCAAGGCCGTTGACGACACGCTCCTGGTTCGGCCGGCGCTGGACTTCGCACGCCAGGCAGCGGCGAGCGGGTCGCCATTTCTGGCCGCTTTGTTCACCTCAGGCTCCCACTTTCCCTTCCGACCGCACGTGCTCAAGCGCACGCCCCGCAACACGTCGCGATTTGTGAGCAACCTGCGAGGCGACTACGTGGATGGAGGGAAACTTCCCGACTACCTGGAGCGGCTGCGCGAGAGTGATGGCCTCGTGCGGAGTGTGTTTGAAGGCCTCGAGGCCAACCGCGCGCTGGCGGGACGAGTGCTCTTCATCGTCGTCGGCGACCACGGGGAGCATTTTGCGAAGAACGGGCTCGCCCCGTTACAGCACGGCGGCTGTGTGGAGCTGCACTGCGTCAGGGTGCCGCTAGTGATCTACGATCCCTTCCGCGCCGTGGCTTCCCAGCGTGAACGCGGCGCAGAGACGCCGAGGTGGGTGCCCGGCCCGCATCGGCATGCCGATATTTCCGTGTCTATCCTGCACTGGGCCGGAGTGCCGCTGCCGACCACCCCATCCCCAGCTCTGCGCCCCGGCAAGCAGATCTGGCGCGGTCCGCGTAAACGGTGCGTGCCTGTGTTTGGCTTCTTCGACAGGGAAGCGGTCGCGACTGCATGCCATCAGGACAATTCGTCACAGCTCGAGTACGCGTGGCGGGACACCACAAACGCCATGACGAGGCAGCAGGCAGTCTCTTTCAACCCTCTGGCAGTCAGCGGGGTGGATGCGCACGATCCTGCCCGCCGCTCGTCATCCAGTGTTTGCCAACGTGCTCGGTGGAGCGAAAAATGCTTTCTCGCGCGGAAAGTTCTGCTAGAAAACGCGCCACGCTACGTCGCGCAAGTGAACGAGGCGTTCCAGGCATGGCGAAACGCGTACTTGAAGGCCGAGGAGGAGCCACCCCAGAACGGCTCGCAAGGCACAGCAGCACCAAAGCTTCGGGCGGATCCGCGAGAGGCCGCGCGGGTGAACGGCTCTCGCGCACACCAAAGGAGGCGTCCGCCACAAAAGCGTCCGCCACAAAACAGGCGCTTCCCGTACCATAAGGCGCTCGACCGCGGCGGCGCGGACCGCGACCGAAACGGGCAGCCCCGCGGGCGTCACAATAGTCTTGCCGCTCTGGAATTCAGAAATTCAAAGGAGGGCTCGGCGGAGCGCCGCACAAAGATCGAGCAGAGGAACCGGAAGCACCGCGCCGCGGCGCCCGCTGCTCGAGCTGTTGGCAGGAATTCTAGCTGCGAAGTCAAGCTCATGAAGCAGACGAGCCAGGCAAGCTGCATCCTTGGTCACAGCTTTGACTGTCTCAACAGTAGCGCCATCTGGGTCGCGAATTGCCGGGGGAGATTTCGGTGCGGAAGTGGCGGCAAAAGAATTCGGTGTGGATTCCCGCCAGGCCTGCCACGGTACATCTGCAGCTGCACAGCTGAAGATCCGTGGGAGAGCTCAGGCTGGGAGAGGGAAGGTGCCGGCACCGCTGCATCGCCAGCCCATGACCTTCCCATAGATTTCGTCTTTCAATAAGTACGTCAGTCGAGATGTCAGGTGTACGCATGAGCCATGAGCCGCTGTGAGATTTTTTATATCATACAGTCGTACGATACGGTAGAGAGAGGCACCAAGTCCAAGCAAGAGAAGAAGATCTCGCTGCCAACCCTTCAGCCTTCTTAGTCAGCGTGTTTTTCTCTATATGATTTATGATCAAGCTGTTTTTTAAGTATAACAGATAATAACACCATCTCAGGTTATGGCTGAGTAACAATATTAGACTGGTGCAAGCGGTGGTTCAGGCCCTCAGTGAGAAACATAGTGCGGAGATACGAGAGGACCGGTCTGTAAAGGCACACATTCGCGCACCCCTGACCCGGTGGGAAGACATCAATTGATCAAATCACCACGGCCGCCTCAGTGTGCAGGTGAGGCCGCCACCCTCCGCCCGGCCCTCACTTGACCCGCACCGCAAAGACAAGCCGCCGGCGCGGCCCCTCCACCGTCACCGTCGCGCCACGGCACGGCGGGGCGGTGGGGCGCCACGCCCAACCGCCGCCGCCGCCGCCGCCGGCGTCTCTCGCCGCATCCGATGCTATTGACTTTAGTACGACAGCTATTCTAGCCACCCATCTTCACTTTCTTCTGCCCATATTGTATCCTCTGTTTAATTCTTTC